TTTGTTTTGTTTCATCCATGAACATACAGGGTTGGTGGCACACCAAACACAACACCAAATCTATGTAGATGTCCTTGCAATTTAACACAATTCACCAACTGTATTGTGTACCGTGAATGATATAAATATGCATTTAAAACTCTTATTCAACACAATACTTGAATTACATTATTTTCAAGAAATAATATTTTTCCTGGCTACATATAAGAAACGTACATTTTATATATGATACGTACTCTGAGTATATGTTTACAGATAACCACATGAAAAATGCCTACGTGGAGGTGATGGACAAGGATGTCAGCCTCTGCTCTGACGTCCAGGTGGTGTGGTGTGGAGCAGTGTCCAGCACTGTTGCTGCTGGGGAAGACTTCACCTTCACCTGCAATGCCACCTTCCCTGTCCGCTTTGTCCGTGTCACCAGGCGATCCACAAGTCGCATACACCTCTGGATCGGACATGTTGACGTGCAAGGGGAAGGGACTACGAAGCCATATCGTGAGTAAACCACTGAATCCAAGATTACATAACATAACCTCTGACATATATACACGTGAGCATATACCAAGCACCGCCCATCCCTCTATCAAGCGTGACCCTCTCGTGGTATTCCGGGACAGGCTGAATAGAGAGTTATCCCCCTTCTGTAAGGATTTCATATTGGCGTATGAACATTCTACTTCAAACAAGAACGATAACTCCATTTCTGCTTAATTACAACAGTAATAAACATTACTGACGCACTGTTATAAAACAGTTTAACCTGTTTTAAGGAATAATGTAATGACGTAATTGTTACCTGCCTTGTATTTTTAAATACCCTTAGAATCCGAAATGGAATTCTTTTCCTTTATAGGAAATTAAAATAGCCCTTCATTTCAGCTGTTATATGTTCCAAAATAGATCCACAAAAATGACTTTAAACAGAAGAAATTCATGTACAGTCTTCATTAAGTGTGCTCGGTGTCTACACGTAGTCTTAACTTGCATGTAGCACTGAACACTGCCATACACTTGGTGATATTTAAAATGAATACACTGAAATAAGTATGAAGGTCCCAGACTAAAATATCCCCAGTGAAGTGAAATGTAAGCACAGTGTTTGATTATAAACAGCTAGGTTGATTAGTTACATATGAGTTTATTGTTTTGAAACTTTTTCTACTTATAATGACATTATCTAAACATATCGGAAAGCGCACGTTATTTCTCCAAAGCAAGCAAGATCGTCAGAGAAAACACTTAATTGAAAATATGCGAGTCGTTATGAAAACAAACGCACGTGTGTGTATATATTTGAATCTGTCACTGTTCGTGGTCCTCATCGTAATTAAAATATTAAATACTGTTTCAATTCTGTTGGCTTTGTTCTTTGTAATGTCAATGTGATATATATTTTGTACGGATTTTTAAACGATCGTAGCATGCCATAACTGACTGAAGTACTCGGGAGATTTTCATCAAAGTACACAATCCTTCCACGCATTCTGATTGGTTTGTCCTTTTTTTCGTATGACCCAATAAGATTCTTCAGTTTCTTGGTGCCGTCCGACATCTCCTGAAGTTGTCCGACTGATGTGTGAAGTGACTTCTGAGAAGTTATCATGTAGACATACCACTGAGGACATTACGTAAATTGACTGTGTATACCAGCATACAGCGTGTACATCATGATATCAGTAGTAAAAAACACTACTAAAGGCAAAAAAACGTAACAAATTAAATGACTATTTAGACGTTTTGTTGTTTTCTTCATTAGTTTTCTTCATCCCGCTGCAAGGGGTGACAAAAATCAGTCATGTATACCAACCACCGTCAACAGACCATAATGTGTTGGTTTAACAGTGTTGACGAATTGAGATGTTGGCGAAATGACACTCAACCGGTGTCCGAGCCGTTCCTGACCATGAATCCAAGTCGCCTTTGTCATAAAAAGACAGGACCCGTGAAGATCTGGGTTAGACTTGATCATCAGCAACCCACGCATTTCGTAAGAGGCGACTAACGGGATCGGGTGGTCAGGCTCCCTGACATTTCATAGTATCCTATTTGCGAAGGTCGATGCTCCTGATCCTGATCACTGGATTGTCTGGTCCAGACTCGATTATTTACAGCCCGCCGCCATATAGCTAGAATATTGCTGAGTGAAGCGTTAAACAACAAACCAGCCAACCATAAAAAGATGGACCGAGTGGTCAGGCTCTGTGACATTGCTGATGGTGTGTCACGTGACTCGATGACGATGACCAGTATAACGTCAAGATAGCCTTGAAGATATCCCGTTCACACATTAAATATATTTACTTTTCTCTAGGCTCATACTACAAACCGTCCAAGAACGTGAAAGTGTCGGAGCCGTTCCTGACCACGTCGGCCATGACAGCCGGCGACTGCGGCATCGTTTGTCATCAGCATCATTCATGCATCGACTTCAGCTACAGTGCAACAGCGCCGACTGATGAGAACTGTCTGCTCACCGACAAAGCCTTGTCTTCACATCACGTCAACGACACTTCTTGGACAACCTACACCATTACCTGCTTGTAAACATTCAATCCAAACATATCAAGCTTCGATCACACTTCGCCCTTTTCACAGCCATGTTTTGTAGTGGTTGAGTCAAACTGAACTTAGTGTTAAAATGGGCTATAGAGCGCCAGTAACTGGAGAACGATTACCACACAAGGGACCATGGGGACTTACAGTACCTTTGCTTCCTGCATGGATCAAAGTAAGACTGACATGGACTTCGGGCTTAGTGCATACGTGTGACTGAAAGGAGAAGAGATACCGATCAATACTTCAAACATCCAAAGAAAATGTACCGATAAGTAAGCCCGTGATCTCATATGAATATTGTATCACATAAACTCTTATAATTTGTTCGGGGATAATGGAATCCTAATGTTGTAATCGGTCTTTAGAGACAAATTACTTTTTCTTATCCATCCATTGCTATCAGTTGTTATGTCTTTGTGTTTGTGTACTGAAAGGAAACTGGCTTGGTCGTTTTAATTACATATGTCTGTTCAAGGCTTGACCGAAACACTGTATTAATGGTTTTCAGTCTGTATGTCGTCGCGTGCACGGAGTGAAAATCGACTTCAGAGCGAACGAGGCCAATCTTTACGGAGTAAGTCGTTAATAATATGCACACATCACCTATGTTGTGAAGCTAGCATGTTCTACAAGTACAGTCTACTGATTAACTCTTGACGGTTTTGACATTTTGCCTATGGTTGGATGCAATTTCATTTTATTGAATACAATCGTGTTAGGCCATAAAAATAATGTTTTAGGTGTCAGTTTTGTTGATGTAAGTCTTAGGCAAGTATGTCCTAATGTCTTTTTTCAACTTTTAAACAGTTGTTGCAATCAAAAATGTGTATTTTGATTTGTATTCAGAAAAGATTATGCCAAACATGCACGTGCTAATCGTGCGCTTAAATGATGACAAGGGTTTTGTCCCTTTACTTTGATGTCATTGTCAGTAGGAACACGCGTTTGAAGCATGTGATGTATTTAACGCCATGTTTCTCAAAATAAAGAAGTTGACAACCATAAATTCTTTATGTGTCTTTGTATGTCTTTTCGTTTCTGAAACCTGAAGACATGTCCATTCCTCTTTTGTACTGGATTCCAAAGCTAAATAGAATCTCTACACAGGGAGATATATTGCTGGGCCAAGTAAATGTACACCACATCCCTGTCTCAACGATTAACCATAATCCTAAATACTATCCAGAAAGGACTTTCTCGACATTCACAGAAAGTATGTGAAAGGAGCGGAATTAATACCATGTTGGTTCTCAAAAACTCAAAAGATTTGCTTACATTCTGACATTCTCAGAAACAGACCGAGTCGAAACTTTTGATTTTTCAACGTTGTATACCCCTATGACAAACTTAAGAAAAAAACTTGATCCATGTGGCGTTTGTAAATAAACATACATATCTATCTTCAAAGGTTCAGTTCAAGTTTTTGCCAAGAAAACAATACGTGAAATGCTTGACTTTGGGGTAAACCATTTCACCAAGAAGCAGGTATCCCCATGGACACGAATTGTGCTCCCCTCCTTGCGGATCTGTTTCTTAATGCATGTGAATCAGAATAAAAACAAGGTAATGTTTGCCAACAAGTTTAACTTAAGCTTCCGGTACATCGCTGATCTAATATCGTCCAATAACCATCCAATAGCCAATCCCCTTCCGCTGATTTACCCACCTAAACATGAAATTGAGGAGACACGTGGCACCGCCACAACTGTTTCATATTTGGATCTATGCATAACGATTCATAGTGACAAAAAAACACTATCCACATAGCTGTATGACAAAGGGGATGATTTCAACTTCCCAATAGCCAACTCCCCTTCCATGTCAAGCAATGTTCAAACAGCTCCAGCCATTTCACAACGTTTGAGGTACAATCGAGTGTGCTTTTTTATCAGAATTTCGAAGAGCGTCATGCCACTCTTGCTCGGAAGTTGCTTGATCAAGGTTACAACATTCAAGAGGGGGAAGAGGGGGTAGCCTAGTGGTTTAAGCCTTCACTTGTCTCACCGAAGACCCGGGTTCGATTCCCTACATGCATTTTTGGTGTCCAGCCGTGATATTGCTGGAGTACTGCTAAAAGCGGCGTAAAACTAAACTCTCTCACTCGTTTATTTGGAGGATATGTTTTGAACCTCTGACGCCAGAGGCCAGACGCCAGACAAGATGCCGTGACTCCAGCCAATGTTACTCTCAGTCAGTCATAGTTCTTAAGGACTGATGGAAGTTCTACATACACAAAGTTTCCGCCTTTGACTTTGAACTCTCTTGTAGTCTTCTATTGACTTGAGAAACTTTAGGATTACACAAGGACATGGCTGCTTGAGTATTCATTAACGACTAGTGGCGTTACTGATGATGTGAATAAAGATCGTTTTCATAAATATTTATGAAAATAACGCCCGCGGACTCTCATGACTGAGCCTTTGTCACCACAACACATTCGTTGACAAGCCGTCAGCTAAGGATGTACGGCCTCGTTGTCCTGTTGTGTGCAGTCCTCTACACCAGCGTTACAAGACTCCACAACATATATGTACACAGTGAGTACTGTAAATGTTTCTTGAGGTAAGGTGAGGTGAGGTGGGGTTGAGTGGGGTTAGAGTTGGGTGGGGTGGTGTGGGGTGAGGTGGTGGTGAGGTGAGGTGAGGTGAGGTGAGGTGAGGTGAGGTGAGACGTCGTACTAAAGAATATTTCACTCATATGACGACGTGCATGCGTGTGTATGTGTGGCTGCTTGTACTAGCCCAGACTTAAGCTGGTGTTATAGTGCTAGCTCAATGAGATACCACGCCGCAGTTAAGCATGAATACCCTCAGACACATTATACTGACTCCGAACCGACCAGTCCTTGCTGTATCCATTAATGCCGAGCGCCAGGCAGGGACCAACAAGTACCACATTTTAACGTCTTTTGGTATGACGCGACCGGGGATCGAACCCGCGACCTTCGGCCCTCCGTGCGGACGCTCTAACCTCTACACCACGGAGGCAGTGAGTGAGTAAGTGAGTGAGTGAGGGATGGAGCGGGCGAGTTAGTTTTACCTCGGCAATACCTCTGTCATACAGTGACGGCTTTGGAACAGTTTTGCTGATTGCTGAGTGAGTGAGTTAGTTTAATTTTACGCCACACTCAGCAGTATTCCAGCTATATGGCGGGCGTCTGTAAATAATCGAGTCTGGACCAGACAATCCAGTGATCAACAGCATGAGCATCGATCTGCGCAATTGGGAACGGATGACATGTGTCAACCAAGCCAGAGAGCCTGACCACCCGATCCCGTTAGTTGCCTCTTACGACAAGCATGGGTTTCTGAAGATCAATATTCTAACCCTGACCTTCATGGGTTTTGCTGATTGGTAAGTCACACAGGACAGTAACATATTACAATATAGTGGTTTGAAGGTGATAAGATTCCTTCCTTCTTAAAGATGCAATGTTTCGAAGCAACAATGCCCAACCATGCCACATGGCTTTGAGCCTCCAACAGGAAGCACCAAAGATGCCAAGAGGGCATACACCAGCAGAAACCATTACCAGTAATGTTCTTCTTGACTGGCTCATGAGACCCCTCCCTCTGGGCTTATAGAACTCGAGGAAAATGATTACATATATATTTCAAAATTAACTCATGTTCAATAAACCGTAACAAGACCAAAAATGAAAAGAAACTCAGAAATAATATATGCGCAGTACAATTTATGCGCAGAGTTTGGCATGGCCAGCCGATTGATACGACCCGTCTCATCGTGCAGCCCGTCAAGGCGAACTTAGGGACAAAGTGTGTAGGGCAAAGGCAGACTGCTCCTGGAACCATCAGCCACCTAATTCCATCTTCCACTGACACACGGGTGCAACCCTCGGGCTGCCCAGTTAACTTACCTTACCAGAAGCAGTGAGGTGCTGAGGACATATTTTACCCCGGGTCCTCATGGGGGACGTCCATGATGATGTCGAAGGAGGGTCTCAGTTGACCTGTTGGCGACTTCTTCGAGATACCTAATGGCCAGTGAAACATGACTCGAATTGCATGGAATATCCTATGCGTTTAGAACGTTATGGTAGACCCAGTTGACCAACTCCATACCTGTCAAATGCCATGGTTGTGTCAAAGATGTCTTACTCACGCACACTCACACATACACTCACTCACTCACGCACACATTCATACACTCACTCACACATACACTCACTCACTCAAACACTCAAACATACACTCACACACATACACTCACTCACTCAAACACTCACACACATACACTCACACACACTCTCACTCACCAACACATACACTCACTCACACACACACATACATACTCACACACTTATACACTCACTCTCACACTCTCACGCACACACATACTCTCACTCACTCACACACATAAACTCACTCACGCACACATAATACATACACTCACTCACATATACACTCACTCACTCACTCACTCACACATAAGCAGACATACATACACTCACTCTCACTCACTCACGCACACACTTACACTCACTCACTCACTCACACACACATACACTCACTCACTCACGCACACACACATCGTACACTCACTCACATATACACTCACTCACTCACTCACTCACACATAAGCACACATACACTCACTCGCACTCACTCACACAAACACATACACTCACTCACTCACATACGCTCACTCATTCACACACACATACACACATACCTACATTCACACCGACACTTGAATGTCCTCAGATGTGTTCAGCACTGGACTTGATTGTGTAACAATGTTCAAGGGGAACACAAGGTAATGTCATGTGGCACTGGACTTCATTGTGTAACAGTGTTCAAGGGGAACACAGGATAATGCCATGTGACACTGGACTTGATTGTGTAGCATCGTTCAAGGGGAACACAAGGTAATGTCATGTGGCACTGGAATTGATTGCGTAACAATGTTCAAGGGGAACAAAGGGTAATGTCATGTGGCACTGGACTTGATTGTGTAACAATGTTCAAGGGGAACACAAGGTAATATCATGTGGCACTGGACTTGATTGTGTAACAATGTTCAAGGGGAACACAAGGTAATATCATGTGACACTGGACTTGATTAGGTAACAATGTTCAAAAACACAAGGTAATGTCAGGTGGCATTGGGCTTGATTGTGTAACGATATTCAAAGGGAACACAAGGTAATGTGATGTTCAGTAAGGCCTAGCGGTGAGCTATATTTAGACTTGTACTAGATTTAGACAAAAGGATCTGGAGAGCGCTACAAGGAGCCGACTCCAGAACCATGTATTAGAAAGTATTGTTCTTGTGTATATGAGGGGAGTTAGCTATTTCCTCTCACGTGACATCTCAAATTTACCAGAAGACCGGCATTGTAAATGCTGATCATTTTACCCTCCATGGCCATTTTTGCAAGTTGGTTAACCGTTGGTGAGCGGTGAACAGTACCATCACTGGTTATTGTTATAATCACTGCTCTTGTATTACATTACCTATCAGCGTAGTGAAACCTTTGTACTGATTTGTGAACTTAGTTTCTACTTGGGAATCAACCCGCAGGAATTACGTGGGCAGAATTGGTGTATCGGGATATATGTTATATAATGCATGTGGTATGTATCTACGTGGAGGGTGATGTCATTCAACTTGGACAGCTTTTATTTTGACAGTAACGTAGCTAGTTACTTAACATTACCTATCTCACCATACTTTAAATCTCTTTTAGCCAAATTTAGATACAGTAACTTTGGATCAACTATCAAAACTAGAAGATATACTGGTATACCAACTGAAGGAAGAGTTTGCATATTGTGCAGAAGTAATTATATAAAATCTATTGAAGATGAAATTCACATTGTATTTGTCTGAAAATTGTATGATGAACCAGGAAATATGTTTAGTTCCCCAGTAGTATAGGTAAGGCACTCAGGTCCGCTTATGGCGTTATTTATGGCCAATTAAGTTTCCAGCGGCCCCTTAAAAACGGTGGTTGTTGAAGGGACATCAAACGGTGTCCCGGGACGAACGAGAATTTTTTAAAATTTCAAATCAACACTTAAATTTACTTACTATTTTATATGTAATACTGAGGGAGGTAATACCGTGTCATGGGGTACGATGAGCAATTCCACTCGCACGAATTCCCTGCCAGGTCAGTATTTCAGATAATACCAATAGGGCTCGTATTCTTTGATATCCACCTGGTCGATGTGGTACGTTTTGAATGATCACATAGGGTCGGTGGCGCGTCTTTGACTGCCTCCCTCGAGTTTGCAGGGCAGGTATAAACACCTTATAAGAATCTAATTTTCGCTATATGTTTGTTTCATTTTGTTTGGTGTTGTGCCAATGTGTCCTAGACTACATAGAGCTGGGCTTTGGTTTGTCGACAGATCTTTGATAGCTACAGCACTGTCCATCTAATGTTCATGTACGGGAATGTCTACATTGTCTTTTGGTACTCCATTTTCGTCCAGCGCTTTTTAGATACAGGATAGTTGGCTCGGTCCCACGATACATCTGTTTTGCAAACCTGTGGATGGCATAGATCCCTTCTGGAAAGTCTACACATTTCTGGATCGCGCTTTTGGTGGCGACACCTGGGCGATGGATTTTGTAGTCTTTTGTAGTTCTAGATATTCTTGATATTCCGACATGTTCTCTATTTCCTCTATCTTCCTGCGCTCGTCCAGATACCCTTTTCCCATAGGAGATGTGACTACGTCTATTTTCTTCCAACGAATCTCTTTGTCAGATATTTGTCGATGAACGATCATTCAGAGCATTCAATCTCGATTGCCGACCGAGTGGGTGTTGTCCAGGATGGTGGGTTTTCCACTTTCGATAGCTTCCATGAGATCACCTGGTTCGACAAATCCATGTTGGCTACAGAGGAATTGCATGAGCTGTTTGCGGTCTAGGATGTCGGAATAGTCTCGGGTGTAGTCGATGCTGTAGTCGATCCCTAGTCCGTTGCCTTGTCATTTTGTTTCTTGATTGGACAATTTCTCATGGAGTCGGTTGATCGTGATTTTGGAGACGTCCACTTTGGCCACAAAGACTGCAAAAGGGCATTTGTCATCTTTTGGGCTTACCATGCTTGTAGCGATTTCTGCTGGGTTTTGCTTTCGATCTTTTGGATCGTGCTGGCAATAGCTCCTGCACTCGGTGTACTCTTTGTAGGTGGTGCATAGTATCCAGTGTAGTAGTCCTACAATTGTTTTTACGTGGCTGTGCTCTCCCATAGAACATTGGACTCTGCCCTTGTGCTGCACGATGTCTTTATGAGATAGATAGCCAAACACATAGAGGTCGTCGACAAAGGCTGGAAGACCGGAGAGAGGTTGCAGGTTGGTTTCACCGAGATTTCCAGCGAGATAGTCTACCGTCGGGATATCGGACACCAGGTTGTTGTCGTGCATGTTTTTCAGTAGTAGGTGGTGTGCGATCGATTTGCTGCAGCGAATACCCATTTCTTGGAAAGTTGCTGCGATTTGCTTTGCCATAGTTGTTGTCAGAGTGTACTGTAGCAACTCCATATGTCTAATTGGAAGTTCGAGCAACCTTGGTTGCAGTTTTTTCGTATACATGTCTTGGTGTCGGGTCGAAAATGGGGTTTGTTGTTGCTGAAAAAAAGTGTTGCCCAAGCGAAAATGAGATTCTTATAAACTGCCATGTATAAGCGGCCGCTGGAAGCTTAATAAGCCATAAATAACACCATAAGCGGACCTGATGCAGAACACCCCTTACCTATACTACTTCCCCTGTTGTCAAATGTTTTGATAACCAACAAAATGTTGTTAATATTGTTAACAACAGAAACATAAATATGATGGTATCATTCTGTAACTTCTTGAAATGTGCGAGCAAAATCAGGAAGTCCTATATTCTTTGATTACATATTTTATGTGCGCTTTAATTATTCAATGACAAATGATTGTATATACTATGGGCAAGTGACCTTTTATATTGAATAAAACTGTCTGTCTGTCTTAAAGTAGCTAGCTTTATTCTCCCATTTCTGACCTGACAATATTTTGACAAGTAAAATATGTATGTATGTTGTCGAGTGTGTGTGTGTGTCCGTGTGTGTATGTGTGTGTCAGTCTGTGGGTGTCTGTGTTTGTCTCTGTCTCTGTCTCTGTGTGTGAGTGAGCCGCTGTCTGTGCCTGTGTCTGTGTGTGCCTGCCTCTGTCTGTGCCTGTCTGTGAGTATCTGCCTATGTTTTTGCCTGTGTCTGTGGGTGTCTGATTCTGGTTTTGCCTGTGTCTGTGGGTGTCTGCCTCTGTGCCTGTGTCTCTGTTTGTCTGCCTCTGTGCCTGTGTGTGTGGGTGTCTGCCTCTGTTTTTGCCTGTGTCTGCCTCTGTGCCTGTGTGTGTGGATGTCTGTCTCTGTGCCTGTGTGTGTCTCTGCCTCCGTGCCTGTGTGTGTGTCTGCCTCTGTGCCTGTGTCTGTGTGTGTCTGCCTCTGTCTGTGCCTGTGTCTGCCTCTATGCCTGTGTCCGTGGGTATCTGCCTCTGTGCCTGTGTCTGTGGGTGTCTGCCCCTGTATTTGCCTGTGTCTGTGGATTTCTGTCTCTGGGCCTGTGTCTGTCGGTGTCTGCCTCTGTTTTTGCCTGTGTCTGTGGGTGTCTGCCTCCGTGCCAGTGTCTGTGGGTGCCTGCCTCTGTGCCTGTGTCTGCGGGTGTCTACCCCTGTCTGTGCCTGTGTCTGTAAGTGTCTGCCTCTGTTTTTGCCTGTGTCTAAGTGTCTGCCTCTGTGCCTCTGTGTGTGCCTGCCTCTCTGCCTGTGTGTGTGGGTGTCTGCCTCTGTGCCGGTGTGTGTGGGTTCCTGCCTCTGTGCCTGTGCCTGTCTGCCCCTGTGCCTGTGTCTGTGCGTGTCTGCGTCTGTGCCTGCGTCTGTGGGTGTCTGCCTCTCTGCCTGTGTCTGGGTGTGTCTACCTCTGTTTTTGCCAGTGTCTGTGGGCGTCAGCCTCTGTGCCTGTGTCTGGGTGTCTGCCTGTGTCGGTGGGTGTCTGCCTCTGTGCCTGTGTCTGAGTGTGCCTGTGTCTGTGGTGTCTGCTTCTGTGCCTGTGTCTGTGGGTGTCTGCCTCTTTGTCTTTGCCTGTGGGTGTCTGCCCCTGTCTGTGTCTGTGTTTGTCGGTGTCTGCCTCTGTGTGTGCCTGTGTCTGTGGATGTCTGCCTCTTTGCCTGTGCCTGTGGGTGTCTGCCCCTGTCTGTGCCCGTGTCTGTGTGTGTCTCCCTCTGTTTTTGCCTGTGCCTGTGGGTGTCTGCCCCCGTGTGTCTGTGTCTGAGCGTCTGCCTCTGTGTGTCTGTGTATGTGCCTCTGTCTCCTCATAGTCTCTTCATACTTCCCTTGCAGGTGAAAGTATTTCAAGAGGGAAAGATGCAAAACAGAGCAGTACCCATTCCACCTATCTCGCCAGCAAGGCTCTAGATAAAGCACATGCATACTATGGATCATTAACAAATCGAGACAACCCGTCCTGGTGGGAGGTGGACCTCAGAGGCTACTTCAACATCAGCAACATCACCGTCATTGCAGCCTCCTACAGGGATTCGTGTAAAGTTTCCTTTGTTTTGTTTGATCCATGAACATACAGGGTTGGTGGCACACCAAACACCGCACCAAATCTATGTCGATGTCCTTGCAATTCAACACAATTCAGCAACTGTATTGTGCACCGTGAATGATATAAATATTCTATTCAACACAATACTTGAATTACATTATTTTCGAGGAAAAACCACATTTTACCTAGCTACAGGTAAGAAGGCCTTTACCATATAAGAAACATGCATTTTATGTGTGATGCGTACTCTGAGTATATGTTTACAGGTATTCACATGAAAAATGCCTACGTGGAGGTGATGGACAAGGATGTCAGCCTCTGCTCTGACGTCCAGGTGGTGTGGTGTGGAGCAGTGTCCAGCACTGTTGCTGCCGGGGAAGACTTCACCTTCACCTGCAATGCCACCTTCCCTGTCCGCTTTGTCCGTGTCACAAGGCGATCCACAAATCGCATATACCTCTGGATCGGACATGTTGACGTGCAAGGGGAAGGGACTACGAAGCCATATCGTGAGTAAACCATTGAGTCCAAGATTTATAACATAACCTCTTACATATATACACATGAGTACATACCAGGCAGCGCCCACCTCTCTACATCTAATTGATCTTCAGCAATCCATGCTTGTCGTAAGAAGCTACTAACGGGATCGGGGGTCAGGCTCGCTGACTTGGTTGACACATTTCATCGTATCCCAATTGCGAAGGTCGATGCTCATGATGCTGATCACTGGATTGTCTGGTCCAGACTCGATTATTTACAGACCGCCGCCATATAGCTGGAATATTGCTGAGTGAAGCGTTAAATAACAAACAATATAAAGTGATTGGTCAGGCTCTGTGACGTTGCAGATGGTGTGTCACGTGACTCGATGATGATGACTGGTATAACGTCTAGATAGCCTTGATGATATCCCGTTCACACATTAAATAGTATTACTTTTCTCTAGGCTCATACTACAAACCGTCGAAGAACAAGAAGGTGTCAGAGCCGTTCCTGACCACGTCGGCCATGACAGCCGGCCACTGCGGCATCGTTTGTCACCAGCATCATTCATGCATCGACTTCAGCTACAGTGCAACAGCACCGACTAAAGAGAACTGTCTGCTCACCGACAAATCCTTGGCTTCACGTCAACGACAACTCTTGGACAGCCCACAGCATGTACTGTATGTAAAAAGTCAACTCAAACATAACCTCGCTGAAGTTTGATCTTTTCCACAACCATGTTTAGTGCCTTAAGCTGCGAGGCGATCGCAAGCTGGATATATCCTGCCCCAATGGCGGCTTCCGTCACAAACACACGCAAAGGAAATTCAATTGCTTAATGTAAGAGCACGTGAACATATCAAAATTGAAAATGAATAATTTACTCGGTCATCATATTCTAATTCATGCGTAAATTTGGAAATGTTCTCCACATGTATGCCTTAAAACTTCATGGCATCTTTACTTAGGCCTTGAATATTGAAACCTTCATCAAACAACGTTTGAACTAAAGTCCGTAAGACGTATTTGAAATCCTCGCAGAATAAGCATGATCGATTGTACCTGCCTAGTATCCGGTACATGTACTCATGTTCGAAGAAATGTGTAGGATGATTAGATTCTCGTTGAATGACATCCCATGTATATCACAGGTCATCATTAACAATACAATGTAGGAATATCGACCCTTCCATCATTAAAGCACTATTGATGAAGTGAGTGAGTGAGTTTATATTAAACGTCACATCGGCAGTATCGTGACGAGCCATATCGAACAATCCATATATTAAACCAAAATAAATCTATACCATATAAAAATGTCATCGAAGGACAGTAAAAATACAAGAATATTACAGATTTGGTTCAAGACGAGTATGTTGTAATATAATCTATTACTACAGCAAACAATACAATATGAAAACAGCCTACCGATCGCCAGCAACTGAACGTAGATCGCCATACCAGGGACCATGGGGACTTACAGTGCCTTTGCTACCTGGATGGTTCCCAGCTGGATTTACGCCATCCTCTCAGGTGTTGGTGATATTTTAAAAATTTAGCCGATCATTAAAAGAACAAATATTACACTATCAAAACGATGGTATATATAAACATACTTTGAATGAAATCGAGTTTACTGAAATTACCGAAGTCCCGAATCAATAGCTTTTTATCAATACACATAACTTGTCTGCATAGCAGCGTTCAAAATAATCGCCGGCCCGGAGGCCCAGCGCCGGTTGTTATTGTATCGGGCCGGCAGTTTCAAATATTTGGCGGCCCTTGTGGCCTTCAGTAAATTATCATTTGTTTGTTTTTTCAACTGGAATCTTTCCCATAATTTTCTTCTTTATTAACGTTCGGGAATCATCCATGATCCCTCATGTTACGATAACTTACACTTTCACTTCCAGGTATTTCAGCGCTTTGCGCATAGGAATGTCAACACCAGTCTTCAACAAATGAAAACGTCTCTCTGCGCCACTGGCTTCGCTAATTGATTTGTAGAAACAGTGTGAAACTGTGTACAGTGTAGTCTATTTTGTGTTTATTCGTTTGACTTTAACAGAATGGGCCTGCAGATTTCATTCAGGGCCTGTAGATTTTAAATCCTGCAGGCGGCGGCAGGCCCTGGTGGCCAGCTTTGCAGTATTGCAAACACAGGTGGAGAGTGGTATTGTTAAACATGAGGCATCATCTTCTTAACCATTTTCTTGGATCAATTATATAAATAACAGCTGTAGTGTCTGTCAGAAATGGCATAATGACACAAACAATTACAGCGAATGATACATTCAACCGTACCGTGTCAACGTACCTGACGATGCCGATCTTACACCAATATCATACAGACCACAGCTCCATCAATTGAAGCGATGTTATGTAAGCAATAAAACAAAATAATGTGCCAAATACAGAATTCAGCACTGAGCAATCGAAAACATCCGTTGTCAAAAAACCCAACTTGTCAGCGTGTGCCACTAAATAAATTTTAAGTAAATACCGGTTCGCGTTGACAAATGAATATGACCTGCCTTGGCGTGTGTTTGTGACGGTTGATACCTGTGGTGCAGGTAGGCTCCCCTTTTCACGAATGCCAAGTATCTTCACTAAATAATCGTGATTCATATAGGACGTACAATGATCTCTACTTTTGTGATTATGGAAATTATGGAATGGAATTTATATTGCTGAGTGCGAAATAGAGTCATCCTAAATCATCATCAGTTACCTTGCCAACATCAGTTGTTAACCTTGTTGATTATGTGCACACGCGTCCACACAGTCAGAGAGAGAGAGTGAGTGAGTATGATTTTATGCCGCTATTAGCAATATTCCAGCAATATCGCGGCGGGGGACACCAGAAATGGGCCCCACACGGTCATACAAATGATCATAAACTACAAAAGAAGAAATATCATACTTTTATATTTTGAGAAATGAATAATTATTTTCACATATGTGGTTACCATCCAGAATGAAAAAATAGATGTAAAACATTTCCTACTTTATACTGGAAATACCTTGCGATTGATAATGACTCGCAAACAAGCAAACAGATAAACAAAAGCTGGCAATATTCTGCTTCAGATCTGACAAAATCATACATTGTTCATGATATGTAAATAACAATAATAATAATCTCAATTTATAACGCCCCTTTTTTATACACACTATGTACATGGTATAACATTGCATAAAATTAACCTGAAACATTGTGTCAAATAACACTGATATCATGAAACGACCAATAAGCGAGAGTAAAAAACGAAAAATCGTTTGCAAGCACAGAAACATTATTCAACCCATGTTGTTTTGAACATAACATCATATCACTGACGAGTTTCAGTACCAATCAAATATCGATTGGTTTGAATACAATTGACATAGTTCTGTCAGTATTGTGAACTAGTAGTTAACATTGGTTATACACGCACTGGCTCTCTGCACATATTTAGATAGTGCTGTCAATACAGTAAAGTAATTGTTTACATTATCAATACAGGCACTGGCTCTCTGTACATATTTAGATAGTGCTGTCAATACAGTAAAGTAATTGTTTACATTATCAATACAGGCACTGGCTCTCTGGACATATATAGATAGTGCTATCAATACAATGAACTAGTTGTTAACATTATCAATACATGCACTGGCTCTCTGTACATATTTAGATAGTGTTATCAATACAATGAACTAGTTGTTAACATTATCAATACAGGCACTGGCTCTCTGTACATATCTAGATAGTGCTATCAATACAGTAAACTAGTTGTTTACATTATCAATATATGCACTGGCTCTCTGTGCATATTTAGATAATGAACTAGTTGTTAACATTATGCTCTCAATATAATGAACTAGTTGTTAACATTATCAATACAGGCACTGTCTCTCTGGACATGTTAAGATAGTGCTATCAATACAATGAACTAGTTGTTAACATTATCAATACAGGCACTGGCTCTCTGTACACGTTTAGATAGTGCTATCAATACAATGAATTAGTTGTTAACATTATCAATACAGGCACTGGCTCTCTGGAAATGTTTAGATAGTGCTATCAATACAATGAACTAGATGTCAACATTATCAATACAGGCACTGGCTCTCTGGACATATTTAGATAATGCTATCAATACAATGAACTACTTGTTAACATTATTAATACAGACACTGGCTCTCTGTACATATTTAGATAGTGCTATCAATACAATGAACTAGTTGTTAACATTGGTTACACATGCACTGGCTATCTGTTCATGTTTAGATAGTGCTATCAATACAATGAACTAGTTGTTAACATTATCAATACAGGCACTGGCTCTCTGTACATATTTAGATATTGCTATCAATACAATGAACTAGTTGTTAACATTATCAATACAGGCACTGGCTCTCTGTACATATTTAGATAGTGCTATCAATACAATGAACTAGTTGCTAACATTATCAATACAGGCACTGGCTCTCTGTACATGTTTAGATAGTGCTATCAATACAATGAACTAGTTGTTAACATTATCAATACAGGCACTGGCTCTCTGGACATGTTTAGATAGTGCTATCAATACAATGAACTAGTTGTTAACATTATCAATACAGGCACTGGCTCTCTGGACATGTTTAGATAGTGCTATCAATACAATGAACTAGTTGTTAACATTATCAATACAGGCACTGGCTCTCTGGACATGTTTAGATAGTGCTATCAATACAATGAACTAGTTGTTAACATTATCAATACAGGCACTGGCTCTCTGGACATATTTAGATAGTGCTATCAATACAATGAACTAGTTGTCAACATTATCAATACAGGCACTGGCTCTCTGGACACATTTAGATAGTGCTATCAATACAATGAACTAGTTGTTAACATTATCAATACAGGCACTGGCTCTCTGTACATGTTGAGATAGTGCTATCAATACAATGAACTAGTTGTTAACATTGGTTACACAGGCACTGGCTCTCTGGACATGTTAAGATAGTGCTATCAATACAATGAACTAGTTGTTAACATTATCAATACAGGCACTGGTTCTCTGGACATATTTAGATAGTGCTATCAATACAATGAACTAGTTGTTAACATTATCAATACAGGCACTGGCTCTCTGTACATATTTAGATAGTGCTATCAATACAATGAACTAGTTGTTAACATTATCAATACAGGCACTGGCTCTCTGTACATATTTAGATAGTGCTATCAATACAATGAACTAGTTGTTAACATTATCAATACAGGCACTGGCTCTCTGGACATATTTAGATAGTGCTATCAATACAATGAACTAGTTGCTAACATTATCAATACAGGCACTGGCTCTCTGTACATATTTAGATAGTGCTATCAATACAATGAACTAGTTGCTAACATTATCAATACAGGCACTGGCTCTCTGTACATATTTAGATAGTGCTATCAATACAATGAACTAGTTGTTAACATTATCAATACAGGCACTGGCTCTCTGTACATATTTAGATAGTGCTATCAATACAATGAACTAGTTGTTAACATTATCAATACAGGCACTGGTTCTCTGTACATATTTAGATAGTGCTATCAATACAATGAACTAGTTGTTAACATTATCAATACAGGCACTGGCTCTCTGTACATATTTAGATAGTGCTATCAATACAATGAACTAGTTGTTAACATT